ATATATATATATAATATACTAGTACAGTGCGTACTATATATGCTATAAATTATATTATATATATATATATATATATATATATATATATATATATATATATTTATATATATATCTAGTACTATATTAGCTCATTAGTTATTAAATTTTAAAAAGAACTAATTATTAAATAGTAAGAGATAATTAATGTAAAATTATTATAAAGATGTACCTAAAATATGAGTATAAAATATGCCCGTCAAGATACCTCCGACCCGTGCTCGGATAGCCCAGAGGCCGTGGCCTGCAATGGGCCTCCCACAAATAGGCCGGGTCATCTCTACCCGTTTCTGACCTAGGGTAGACGCGCCGTCACAGGCTAACCCTAGACCTGAACCGTCACTCCGCCTTTCGAGGCCATTAATTGCAAGCGTCTCTTCATATCTTGTCAACCCTTACTCTTCTCCAATAAATGTGCGACACGTGGCTGTGCCTTGGGATTCTTCCCAATTTAAATACCCCTTTCTTCCCTCCTCTTCTCACTTACTTTCTCCATTCCTCTTTCAAAAGAACTCGAGAGCGCATCAACCTTCTCCTGCACTTTCTTCCCCCCGGACTTCCAGGTTGGTACCATGTCGTCTTCCCCTTCTTCTTCTCCTTCTCGTCGCTCGGCGGGATCTCCCGCCTCGACTACCTCGTTTGCTTCTTCTTCATCCTCCTCTTCTTCATCTTCTAGCCATCCCCGTCGCATGGAGATTCCGTTCGGTTTCCCATCGGCGTCATCTTCTCAACCGACCCCCTCTTCTTCGGGGGCGGTTACTCCTCAGAGTCCAGCCCCTCTTACGACGGTGGGGGCTCTTCCTGACGGTGCCGGATGGACGAGGTGCAAGTTCGACTCCATCGTCCGGCCGTCGGGGCTTCCGTCGCAAGTTTCTACGGCGGACATTGATATGGCCCATTTGCTTTTAGGGCCAGCGCCCACTATTTTTCCTCCGGAAAGTCGGCCAATCTATGACCCGCCGGAGGGTTGCGTGGGTATCCACCTGCACTCGGTGGCCTTTGACTTCCGAGTGCCCCCTTCTCCGTTTCTCTCTCTCTTTTACTGTCATTACAACCTGGTTCCGGGTCAGTTGGTCCCCAACTCGCACCACCTTCTCGCCTGCTTTATTAACTTGTGTCACTGGTGGCTCTGCGAGCCGGATTTAGACCTTTTTCGGTACCTATTCACCGTGAACAAGGTCGGCTCACACTCCCCGGGCTTTGTTCAGGTCGCCGCCCGTCTCGGGCATCAACTGTTTGAGGGTCTTCCAGATTCTATAAAGGACTGGAAGCCCTTTTTCTTCTTTGTCCGTCCTTCTTTTACCTCTTCTACCTTTCCCACTCTGTGGCCGACCGCTCTTTTCAAACCGTGCTCCCGGCACGCCGTCTTCACCCAGGACGCGATCCAGGGTGCCGAGTTCTTGAAGAGATGGGGACCATACTCTGTCAAGTATTGGTCTCGAGTCCGGGCTATGGCGAAATGGGGCCTTCTGCCAGCCGGCGCGGCCACCGTAGGTAGTCCTTCCGTGATCTCATTTTTCTTTATCTTTCTTGCTTGATCCGACTGCTAATGCTTGTTTTCTTTCCCATAGGTCCCTACGACTCCGACTCCACCAGCTCGGACGAAGCCGAGGCCCCGACACCAAAGATGGCTGATCGTGCAGAGAAGATGAGGCGCCGGTTGTCTCAGCGCACGTCAGGTTCCGCCGTGGCTTCTTCGTCTCTCCCTTCTCCAGCTTCGAGGTCGACTCCACCACCACCGAGGAACGTGGTGGATCTGACGCCGTCCCCGGCTACCTCTCCTTCCAGGCAACCGCCTCCGCCCCCATCTGAGAGCCCGAGCTCCAAACGCCCTTTGGAGCAGTCTGACACGCCTCCGCCCAAGAAGATCCGTCTGGGCCTGGAGCTAGAGGAGACCGCCCAGATTTGGGGGGGGGGGGGGGGGGGGGGGGCGACTACTCGGTCCAGAACTGGGCCGAACACGTTCTCCTTCCCAAGGATTTGGAGGCGGCGAACAAGATGCAGGATGAGTACATCCTGGAGGCCTCTCTACGGCAGTCCTACCGGGTAAGTTCTCTTGCAGACCTTTTTTATTGCTCCTACTTCTCCCAGATTTTCTTCTGACACTGCTTCTTTTCCCTCTGCTTAGAACCTCACTTTCCAGCTGGAACTGAGGAAGCGGATGCGGGCACTCAAGACCACCATGCATTCCATCGCCGTCCGCCTACGCCAGTCGGAGGAGCTTCGCCTGGAAGAGCAGTCGGTCTACACCAAGGCGAAGGAGGTTCACACCGCCGAGCTGCTGAGGGTCACCCGCCAGTGGGAAACAGAGTGAGACAAGGCCATCGCTGCTGCTGCCTCAGTTGCCAATGCTGTTGCCTAGTACAAGAACTCGGCAACCTTCGAGGAGGATGTGAAGGCGGCGGTTGAGGGTCGTCGAGATGAGCTGGCGAAGGAGTGGCTGGCGACTCCAGAGGGCGACGACTATCTGCTAGATCTGGACGAGCGCGATTTCCGCCTGGGCTATCGTGAAGCTCAGACGGAAATTTATGCCCTCCTCTTGGCCCGCGACTCATCCTTCACTCTGGAGAGTTGGGGCCTCAAGCCGGTGCTCGATCCTTTGCCGGTTGCCGAGACGTCTGTGGCGACTGCTGACCCGGCGGCTCCTTCTGTGGTGAGCCCGGTGACTTCGACGGAGCAGCCTCCTCCGGCAGAAGATCCTTCACCTGTTCCTCCAGTTAGACCATCGGCGGAGGAACAAGTGGAGGAAGTCAACGTTGATACCCCTTCCCCCGTAGTCTAGGATTTTTTGTAATTTTTTCCTTTTTTTGTAAGGGCTGGCCTTCCCCTCGGGCTTTTATTGAATGAAACCTTTCCTTTTCTTCTTCCCTGCAATTTTTTATTTATGCTTTTCGACTGCTCTCGTTTCTTATCTTTCCTTCGTCGAGTCCCTCAGTCGAGGCGACTCCTCTGGCTTTTTCTTGGAAACGACTAAGGGTCCGGGCCCTTGTTTCCTTTCTCTTTTCTCGCTGAGTCCCTCAGTCGAGGCGACTCCTCTGGCTTTTTCTTGGAAACGACTAAGGGTCTGGGCCCTTGTTTCATTTCTCTTTTTTCACTGAGTCCCTCAGTCGAGGCGACTACTCTAGCTTTTTCTTGGAAACGACTAAGGGTCTGGGCCCTTGTTTCCTTTCTCTTTTCTCGCCGAGTCCCTCAGTCGAGGCGACTCTTCTGGCTTTTTCTTAGAAACGACTAAGGGTCTGGGCCATTGTTTTCTTTCTCTTTTCTCGCCGAGTCCCTGAGTCGAGGCGACTCCTCTGGCTTTTTCTTGGAAACGACTAAGGGTCTGGGCCCTTGTTTCCTTTCTCTTTTCTCGCCGAGTCCCTCAGTCGAGGCGACTCTTCTGGATTTTTCTTAGAAATGACTAAGGATCTGGGCCCTTGTTTCCTTTCTCTTTTCTTGCCGAGTCCCTCAGTCGAGGCGACTGGCAGTGGACCCAGCAAGTCGAATCCCCATTTTGCAAACGGGATGACCGTGGTGACTGACGTGTAGAAAGTGGTGGGCCGAGTATCTTTTCGAGCGAATGCCTGGCAAACCCCACACTTGGCTATCCATTCGATGTAGTCTCTCATCATGGTGGGCCAATAGTATCCTTGGACAACTAACATCCGGGCGAGAGTGTGGGCACCTTGATGGGCAGCACAGATCCCGCGGTGGGCCTCGTCCATTATCTTCTCCGCCTCGGGCCTGAGTAGACATCTAAGAAGGGGGCCTCCGAACGACCGCTTGTACAATTGTCCGTCGACGATCTCGAATGACGGGGCTTTGCGGCGGACCCGTGCGGCGGCTCCTGGATCTTCCGGCAATTCCCCCTTTTCCTTGTATCGCCGGATGTCTTCGATCCAGAACATCTCTGGATTCTTCTTCCGATCCCATTCCTCGACCGCTACCTGCTGAACCTCTAAGGTTGTTTCTTCTATGCTGGGTCGAACTAGTTCTTCTCTTTGGCAGATCCTGACGAGATGGTCCGGCACACCTTCTAGGGCGATTTTGGACAATATGTCGGCTTCTGTATTATCCGCTCGTGGAATATACTCTATCTCGTACGCTTCAAATCCTTCTAGCAATTCCAGCGCTTTTCCTCGATACTGGGCCATCCGAGCGTTCTTAGCTTCGCATGTCCCGGATATCTGACCGACCACTAGGCGAGAGTCGGTCTTGATCCGCAGGCGTCCTACGCCCAGGGTCTTGGCGAGCCGTAGGCCACCCAGCACGGCTTCATTCTTGACCTGCTTATTGTTAGACGTTGAGAATATGTGACTTAATTAAGGCGTAATAAAGCCGGAATCCCTCCGGTGTAATTAGCATGATTCCGCCGCCACAATGTTGGCGACTAGCTGCTCCATCTGCATGCATCTCCCACCATTCGCCTAGATTATCTTCCGAGGTATCCCCTTCGTCACACTCCCTGGCGGTGCACTTGACCAAAAAATCGGCTAGGGCCTGTCCCTTAATCGATGGGTGAGGCTGGTACTCGATTCCGTACTGAGTTAACTCTACGGCCCATTTCACAAGCCTGCCCGATGACGTAGGATTTCGCAATACACTTCCTAGGGGTTGATCAGTCAACAGCCGAACGGTATGGGCTTGAAAGTAAGGTGCCAGCTTGTGCACGGTGATTACCAGGGGATAGACGATCTTTTCTAGGGGCGTGTACCGCGTCTCGGCGGCTTTCAGAGAACCGCTCACGTAATATACCGGGTGCTGGGCACGCTCTTCTTCTCGGACGAGTACTGAGCTCACCACCCTAGGGGAGGCTGCCAAGTATAAGAATAATGGTTCTCCGACCTGAGGGGTGGACAACACCGACGGGGTAGAAAGATATTTCTTTAACTCTTCGAATGACTGCTGACATTTGGTCGTCCACACAAAGCCCTCTTTCTTCTTCATGGCTTCGAAAAACGGCACGGTCTTATCTGCCGCTTTGCTTAGGAAGCAGCTGAGGGAGCTAGTCGACCAGTCAGCCGTTGCAAATCCTTAACGGTGCTGGGAGGCTGCATGTCTATGATGGCTTGCACTTTCTCTAGGTTAGGCTTGATGCCCTTCTTGGTCACCATATATCCTAAGAATTTTCCACCTTGCACTGCGAATGCACACTTCTTTGGGTTAAGTCGGAAATTATACTTAAGCATTACCTGGAAGCAATCGGCCAGATCCCCCGCATGGTTGGTTTCTTCTCGACTTTTAACCAGCATGTCGTCCACGTAGGCCGCCATGGATTTTCCCAATAGATCTTGGAACAGTCGGGAGACCATCCGGGTGTATGTAGCCCCTGTGTTTTTGAGCCCGAAGGGCATGACCCGGTAACAGTACACCCCGTCCGGCGTTAGAAACGCGGTCTTCTCCTCATCCGCTTTATGCATGAAGATCTGATGATATCCCCGGAAAGCATCCATAAAACTCAGCAAGGTCGACCCCGCCGTCTCGTCGACTAGTTGATCGATCAGGGGTAAGGGAAACGGATCCTTCGGACAGGCTTTGTTGAGGTCAGTGTAATCCATGCACATTCGCCAGGCCGGGGGTTTAGGTACAAGTACCACGTTCGCCAACCATTCTGTGTACTTGACTTCTCGGATATGACCTGCGCCCAGCAGTGTGTTTACTTCTTTTTTCACAAACTCTCTCCTGTCGTTAGCCAAGTAACGCTTCTTCTGTATGACCGGCCGGTGGTCGGGGTGTATGGTGAGTCGGTGAGCAATGATAGACTGGTCGACTCCCGGCATATCCTCTGGCCCCCAAGCGAAGACCAACTGATTCTCTCGAAGTACTTTTATGATCCCCTCGCGTATCTCCTCCGGGAGACTGACGCCAATCCGGACTCGCCTTTCCGGCTGCCTGGGGTCGATCTCGATTTCTTCCAACTCCACGGCCGGATCGGGGCGGGGTATCATTGCCTTCTTCAAAGTTCTTTCTGTGATCTCATGGACTTGCATCTCGCGCTTGCCCATGCCCCTGCAAGCTTGCAGGTAGCAATCGCGGGCGACCCTCCTATCACAGCGTACCGTGCCTATCCCACTTGGTGTGCGGAACTTTAAGCAGAGGTGCTCGATCGAGATCAATGCTCCCAGATCCTCTAGTCCCGGCCGTCCGAGTATGGCGTTATGTGAGCAGGTTAGATCAACCACAATGAATTTCATGTCCAACTTCTGCACGTCGGGATAACTGCCGATTTCTACCGGTAGAGTGATGGATCCTTCTGCTTCCACCGAATCGCCCGTGAAGCCGGCGAGTGGTGTTTTGACCGGGTTCAATTGCTCTCGACTTAGTGCCATCTTGGTGAAGGTTTCAAGGTATAGCATGTTGGCACTGCTCCCGGTATCCACCAGGATCCGCCGAACGACCACCCCATTCACATCCATTGCGATGACTAGGGCGTCGCGATGCGGCGTCTCTCCTGTAGGCAGATCCTTGTCGGTGAACGTGATGGGCTCTCGGCAAGTCTTCTTCGAACCTTCTTCTTGCCCGTACACTGTCCCTACATACAACTGTCGGGCCCAAGTTTTTTTAGTATTTGCCGAGTCGCCCCCTTCTGGTCTGCCGATTATCATGTTAATGACCGGCTTCTGTCGTAACTGGGCCTCGTCTTCCTCGGTCGCAGACTGCTTGCCGCGACCATTTTCGGTTGCTGCCGCAGGGTCACCGTCTTCCCGAGTCGCCGACCTTCTTCGCCACTGGTTAGGAGGCGGGGTTCCTTGCTGAATGATTCCCTCCATGATTTTCTTCAGGTAGTAGCACTCTTCCGTACTGTGAGTGTAGGATTTGTGGTAACGACATTATTTAGATATCTTACCTGGCTCTTCGTTCGCCACGCGCTCCCCAATCGGGGGAGGCGGAGGAGGTGCGACTGCTTGTACCTCGTGCACCGGATGTTGAGGAGTCTGCCTATAGGGACGGACGATGGGCCTATCATAGGGGCGCCTGGCTTCAGGTCACCTAGGCGCTTCCGGGCGTGTCTCCTTAGTCTCTGCGCGGGTTCTCTTTCCGCTGGCGGATCCTCTGACCCCGCGTTGTCGCTTGTGCTTCATGGCCTGCTCCGTGTTAGCTCGTTTATTAGCCATATGTATGGCTTCTGCGTAGGTGGCCGGTCGGTTGTCACGTTGGTCCCGATACAGTTATCCGAACCGTAAAGATTCGATGAAGAAGGTGAGGGCAGTCTGGTCCTCGACCTCCTTGATAGACTGGATTTCCTTTTGCCAACGGGCCAAGTAGGTTTTAAGGGATTCACCCTCCTCTTGATGAACGTCCTCTAGATGGGTCAGATCCTTTTGTGGCTTGATGTTGGCCGCGTAGTGACTCATGAAGCGGTCGGCTAGCTCTTCAAAGTTGCGTATCGATCCTGGGGGCAGAGCTACCAACCATCTTTGCGCTGGTCCTTTTAGTGTTGGTAGGAAAGCGCGGCACATGACAGGGTCCCGGACCCCTAGTACCTGCATCTTAGCCTGATAACTCAAAAGGTGCTCTCGCGGGTCACTGGATCCGTCAAAGGTGGCCTGTTCCGGGAACTTGAAGTCGTCGGGTACTTTGTAAGACATGATCTCGGAGGAAAAAGGCAAAGCCGTGAGCAATGTTCGCCCAGGGGATTTGGTCCTCCCTTCCATTTGCTCCTTCAGATTTCGCACCTCTTGGGCCAGTTGAGCCACATCCTCATCATTTTGCGTGTGGTTCCCAGTGGACTCCGTGCTTTCACCGGCCTCTGATTCAGCCGGTTGGTCATTGTTACGTCTAGGCCACTCGGACCGTCGCGCCCGAGTCCTAGTTCTTATAGTACGAGCCTTTTCTCGGACAGTCTCTCGATTCTGCGGTCCCACCGGTACGCGACTGGGTTCTCTCTCTTCCAATCGCTCTCCCGCGGATCGGTGCGCGGTATCTGGACCGAGCCTGGAATGGACTGATCGTACCGGCACACTCTCCGCCCGTCGATTTCTTTGCCCACCTTTCCTGGATCTCTGGGGCGGTCGTTGGTTACGGGGCGGCGGTCGTGAGACCGACTGTTCTCCCATTCCCCGATTTTTCGCGGCGATAGCCCGCCCGAGGGCTCGGATTTGTTCGGGAGTGAACGACATTAGGGCTGGCGGCCGGTTCAAGGGTGCCTACTCATTCTCTTGACTTTGAGCGTTTCGCTGATTCAACTGCTCTCTCAGGTCGACTTCTGGAGCGTTATTGCGGTTATTCGCCTGGCTCCGTCCCTCCGACATGCTGCGAAGCTCTTATCTCTCTGCAATGTCTTTGTCTGTCTCGTGCACTCGCCTGCTTAGAAAAGCACGCGGCTCTTTGTTTCGATCCCCACGGACGGCGCCAGTGTTGGTTTTAGGGTTTTTGGGCCAGGGAGGTCCAACACAACCTTGGTTGGTGGATGCACCTTTCAACAAAGCTACTAAAAATAGAATGAAGTAAGCAGTTGTGGTGAGCGTGTTTCTTTATTCTCTAGGCATGGACTTGCCCCGTTTACAAGGATGGAGGGGCCTTTATATAGTAAGCCCTTCCCTCACCGAGTAAATATACATTGAAGACTGCTTTCAAGTCTAAGTATACCTTGGGGCCATTGGGTGCCGTTACCGGGTCGGCCAACGGCTCCTTGGGCTTCTCTAATGGTTCTAAGCCGAGTCTTCTCCTTAGCCTGGGCCCGGGCTGACTCCTAGGCTCGACCCAGGCTTCTACCGTTCTTTATTACTTATCTTTATTCTCATTCTCTGGGCTATTACCTACCCTTTCTGGGCTCTTCTCCATTATGGGCCTCTTCTCTTGGGCCTGCCTTCTTGGGCCGGGGTCCTCACCCCATCACATATTTTATTTGATTAATTTATAATGAGACAAATAAAGTGCATTAAATTAAACGGGCATGGGAGTATTCCCAAACAATATGGCAAATTTACTATGGAGTATGGACCATGGTTTAAAACTATGGTTTCGTTTTTTTAATGAAAAGAAAAGACACTTGTTCTGTTCAATTAATTCTGTTTTTTTATGACGTATCCAATTTCATTTATATACAGTGTAATAATTTTATTATAACACAACTAAAGTATATTGACTCTATTACAAGATAGTATTTGTTCTATACTTTCTCTAACTAGTGCAGTCCAAAGAGTCAATATTCCACTACCGGGTTCGATCCTGTGACCTTCCCTCAAGAGGAGTCACAGAGGTGCCATCTGAGCACAAGCTGCTTCGCACATTATATTATTATTATTATACACTCAATAGTGAGACATTTTATTTAGTTTCATTTCATACATACTGTAATTTTATTACAACACAACTAAAATATCATTTTAATTCAATTACATTTTCGTTTAACAATATACACTCAATATATGACGTCACACCCCCAATTTAAAGCATAAATATAGGCATAGAACTACTTAAAGATAGATAAAAGAGTCTAACTGCATAGATAAATTGCGGAAGCTAACTAAAACTGAAAATCCCGGAGATGCTATGCCACATCTAGGTTATCACAACCTAAATGCACAGGCTAGTCTAATCCTCCTGCAAAACAACATAACAAGTACTAGTCTCAACAGTATATGTCTAGCATAGGCTCGTAGGCCAACAAATAGAGTCAAACTAGGGAATCTAACTACAAGGCAGATGCTGGTCTCGAACTATCGCGCACTCAAAGCTGGACTACTCCATACCTGAAAACAGTTTGATATGCTAAGTAACCCCCACTCCAAGTGTAAAGATACGTAGATATACATTTAATACTTTGAAATAATTTTGAGACTTGGGAATTGAATACATATATATTTCACTAATCAACTCTAATTCAGTAAATCATAAGGAATGGAATCAAGACTAGACCAATACATGAGATATGCTCAACACATGATATTATACCTCAAGGACATCAATAAAGAGTCCGATTCAACGAGATAACAATAACAAATCAAGGACAATGAGAAAGATAGAACAATCATAATAATCAGCATAGATAGTCCTCATCAAAGTCATGCAATCAATAACAATATCAAGGTTTCAAGTCCACACAGGACACAATCATCAAACATATACCGCGAAATCAACCTCATTGACTCGATACCAACGTAGATCAGTGTGGAGGGCTTCCAGTCAGCACCAATGTCACAAGTGACCAATCAATCAATGTCCAATGGAAACATATCTAGCAACTTTAAGTGTATACACCCCTATTGGGATTCCAAGCTCAACGGGTTAGCTACTATCTCTGGCAAAATCGGCTTACGTTTCAACCAAGTTGCCCGCAAATCACAAATCCAACGGCAACCCGGAGCTTTCCACACTACCGGATCAGTTCACAATGGTTGATAGGGGCTTTCCACACCAACATGACCCATTGCAAACAGAGCCAGAGGCCCGCCAATCTCAAATCAGTAACAGATAACCCCACACTGTCCACTGTACCAGCTCAATCAACACAACAATGGTTCAATTCAACAAGGAATCTCAATAGACAAAGTAAAGGAATAGATTCCACAAGAAATTTATTCAACAACGAAGTGTCACAACGAATAGATAGGTTCAAGTTATCAACTCAATCAAGAATCAAGCATAGGCTACCACAAGAAATCATACTAGCATTAAGAAACAACGCTACTAGTACAGAAGCCAAAGAATAATCACAAGGGTTCATACAAATAACATAGACTTCATCAATAATCCAACGAATATCAATATTGGATCTTAGCCACGAGTCAAGACTCAAACCTAAACATTAGGCTCCTAATACACCGCTCTAGACTTACGTAACATCAATATATACTCACAAATGCACGAGAGACAACATAGCAAGAAGCCAACAAAACAATACTAGTGGGCAGTTCGGATGGGTACAAAAGGTCCCGCCAAAACTCCCTGATGTACAAGTGGGTAGTTTCGACGGGACCCAAAGTGCCCGCCAGAACCCCCTGCGTGATTGGCGGGTGTGCCACCGCCCGCCCGAAACCCCCGCTGGTTCATTTCCCTGAAGTGAAATTTAACTCGGGAAAAATGCCAAGAATGTGCAATCCAAGTCCAAACTCAACAAAACTTATACCAACAACAAATATGACTTTGAATAAAAGATATGACACATCAAACACAAGTATACACATCAGATACTAGCTCTAAAATAAGCATAAACACAAGAATATGCTCACATACCACAAGATCATCATGAATACACATTGTATAGTTTAAAATAGGTTTTCATGGACAAAGGATTACCTCTTAGCAAAGCAAAAAAACTAAAAGCTTCTCCTGTAAGTATTTTCCCTAAATACAATATATTATAATATATTGTATTATTGGGTGGCTGTGGTGCAAGACCTCAATACTAAAATCGATAATTGAAGCATCTAAGGCTGCATGAATCGGGAATACACGACAGAAGGAATTGGTTTATTTACAAACCTCCCTTCAACTGAAAGGAGATTGAGTCAATTAGTGACTTAATATGTTAGGCAACTCAGGATATTCAGTTAAGCTTTAACTAAATATCTGCCTACGTTGATGGCATGTAGGCTTCTAAGCAAAAAGTCCTCCCACAGCTCCCGTGTTCAGAATACACGCACCATCAGGTATTCGGGAGAGAAGTGGTAGAGAAAACACTAACCTTTATTCTGCAGGTTTACCATCCCGTGGCAATACCAACAACTATGGCTAGAGACATTTGGGAATCCTAAAGCTTCCGCTATTACGGGTCACGTTACTCGTTACTATAGTTTATGTTAGTCAATTTATTATCTAACATTTG